GGCTGGATAGCGGCAGCGAGGAGGTGCGCGAGGGGAATAACAGAGCATTGGGCTGCCAGTTCAAAGAATTTGGGTCGTAATGAAACACAGGACGCCACTAACAACAGCGTCCACGCCTGGACGTCGTTAGCAACAGCGGCCGTACCTGAACGCTATTAATCACAGCGTCCTTCCTACTTACACAATTTCCAGTTGCCCTTTACCAGTTCCGTAATTAGATAATTCTTATTTATTATTAATAAAAAAATCGGGCGAACGCACGCGCAGCCGCCGCTGGCGCTACTCGCCTATCCCCGCCTCGCCCCATCCCGCGGTCCGCCGGCGCTGCTCCTACGGTCCCATCTCCAAGGCTGTCGCCGTCTGGCGGCTACCCCAGTCCCCGGCCGCCGTGTTGCAGGCTTTGGTCCATCTCGGTTCAGGTGAGTTTTCAGGCAGCCTGCAGCCGGCAACGGTTTTACATACTCCAGTGCTTGCTAGTAATATTTCGTATCATGTGTGTGCGCCCAGTGCCCCAAGTGTGTCATGTTTTGGTGCTCGAATTGAACAGAAGACGTAGACATTCTGTTGTGCGTGATTGTGCAGGACACTTTTGTTGTCAATTGTTGAGAAATTGTCAAATAGAAGATGAAACGGACCATTGGTTTGGTACTAGCGAGCATCTCTGTATTGCATTACTAGCAAGCATCTCTGTATTGTATTACTAACCGTGCCTTCTCTGTTGTTGTAGGGACAGTTAAGCTATTGGCCATCCAAGCTTGGCGTGCAGTCGGAATCTCCTTAAGTTGATGTTCGTGTGCAAGTATGCTGGAGGAGACGCTTCAGGGTTAGTAATGCAGCCACAATCTGCTTATGATGTGCATAAAGCTCCGAGTCCAGTGGATTAGTAAATCTTCCTTCATGATAAGCATAACTAACTCAAGACCACTGTTTCCCTTCACCAGGTGTGGATTTAGCTGTTCATGCTTCTAGGCCTCTCCAAACGGAGGCTTGGCACGACTTCCTGCGCTCGCCGTTGGGTTTGCCCATGGACAACTTCGGCCATGCACAAGCACAGACATCTACTCTGGTACCATTTCAGCAGCCATTTACCATCATTGTCACCGATTCGTCTGTGTGTGGCGAATTTTGACAGTCACTTACCATCTGAGAGATCAACAAAGCAAGAGGGGCGCGGCATCCATGATGCGTTGAGAGTTTTGCACCTCGTGCCAGGGAAGGCATATAATGGCAATGAGGAAGGTCTGTCTCATCACCGCATTATCAATGATTGTATGCATGACATCTTGAGAGTTCAGTTAGGAAATCATGGTATGCGTAATGGAGAAGTGCGGTTCGCTAGCTCAAGTAATAACACAGAGCAAATTTTACCTGATACCATTGATTCTCATGATATCTCTGCTTCTCCTTCCATGAATAAACTCGCAAAGGGAAACAAGTTTATGCTACTTGTGGAGTTGCATAGGAGAGGAATAAGTGTCGATATATCTGTTTTAGCATCTGCCATGAGCTTTTGTGCTGTTAAGCAATCCATTAGGACAGGTGCTCAGCTCCATGCTCTACTGGTGAAAGTTGGTTATGAATTGTCGGTACTTTCTGGTACCTCTCTGATTAGCTTATATGCAAGATGTTGTCAGCTGGAGAATGCTTGTCAGGTTTTTCAGAGCATGCCAATAAAAAATACCGTGTCGTGGACATCACTCATTTCTGGTTATGTACAGGATAATCAGGTTGAGCCATGCCTCAAGGTATTTCAGCTGATGAGACAGTCAGCGTGCAGGCCTAATGACATCACATTTGCCACTATCTTCAGTATGTGCACTAAACACGCACTTCTTGCACTTGGTAACAGTGTTCACGGTCTAGAACTAAGAATGGGTTTTGATTTGTGTGTGCATGTCTCGAATGCACTGATATCAATGTATGCAAAGTGCGGGAATATAATTGAGGCCCAAACAATATTTGAGAACATTGTGTGCAAGGACCTGGTTTCTTGGAACTCTATGATCTTTGGATATGCACAGCATGGCCTTGCTGAGCATTGTCTAAGCTTACTAAAAGAAATGGAGGAGGAGCACATAGTGCCTGATGTAATCTCCTTCCTTGGCATCCTGTCATCATGTCGGCATGCATGCCTTGTAGAGGAAGGCCGGCGCTGCTTCAAGGCAATGATCGGACTTGGAATAGAACCAGAGTTAGATCACTATTCGTGTATGGTAGACCTCCTCGGCCGGGCAGGATTGCTCGATGAAGCGTGGGATTTGATCGGTACAATGTCCATGCCCCCAAATGCAGTCATATGGGGTTCTCTGCTGGCTGCCTGTAGGATGCATGGAAACATTCCGATTGGTATCCATGCTGCAGAGCACCGTCTTAAGCTGGAGCCAGGTTGTGCTGCAACTCATGTACAGCTAGCAAATCTATACGCTAGCATTGATTGCTGGAGTGATGTGGCCAAAGTGAGGATGATGATGAAGGAGGGAGGACTGAAGACGAACACTGGATGCAGCTGGATAGAAATTGGCAGTGAGGTTTATACTTTCACAGCAGAAAACAGATCTAAGAGCCACCAAATAAACAATGTCCTGGCTGTACTTGACTTCTTGCGATCTCATATGGAATACAAACATGATGTGCTGATAGATGGTTTTGAGTTTGATGACCCTCAGTAGTTCAAGGTAAGTTTGAGCTCTGAATAAAGTATTGGGAGATGATAGATCGCCGCAGTCATTTGTATATGAAGATCAAAGAGTCAATTCTTTATAGAAAAAGCATGACTCACACCTCAGAGACTTGTGATATGATTCGTCTGATTCCAACCTCAAAGTATTCAATATTGTGCTGCATTAGAAGCAGTAGAGTTTTCCCACCTGACATCTGATTTCAATTTTGATGCTCGATGTAGTCTTTCTTATACGCACTTGATGTTTTAAACTAGGATACACTAGTAATTAGACTAGGCTGCACTAGTAATTAGTGTGAATCATTTGGGAACTTTAAATGTAAATTTGAACCAAATATAAGAAAAGGTTGGCTTGATTGACTAGATAAGGTTTGATGGATATTTTCTCTCTGCTATTTTGGATTGGTCTGAATAATGTAAATTACATCATAATTTCAGTTTGACACTTGAAAATTACTTCTTGATTGCAACTTATGGTCAAATTAATCCCCTAACCGTCCTTCTAATAATTACTTCCTCCTTCCCAAAATATAAAGCATGGTTGATTTTTCACGGTCTTTGATGCATGGCTTTGACCATCAATATATATCCTAATGCATTTATTGAACATGTATAAATAGTATTGTCATATTTGTCTTGTAAAATAATTTTAGTTCATCTGTCTTTATATTAATTTGGTAGACATGCAATAAAGTCAAAGTCGTGTGATGGAGACCAAAAAAAGTCAAGTGCGCCTTATATTTTGTGAAGGGGGGAGTATCTCTTAGTTGCATTCTTGTGGGTATGTTTATAGTTTTTCCTTTCAGTGGTTTTTAGAAGAAATAGATTTAATAATGGGTAATCCTATATTTTACTTAGTGCTTTCCTACTATGTTAGTATATTTCACTACAATCTCCTCTAACCTGTAAGGCTTCGTTCGGTTAGAGCCCACCCCACTGGGATCGGGGCCAAACCCCATGGTTTCATCCCACCCGAGGTTTCATCCCGGTCAATCTTATAGGTTAGAGCCCAGCGTGGATTGTAACCCTGTCTCATATAAACTATGTTAGTATTGCTTCTGAATTTCATACACCTCCAAAATCCTCGGTTTTTACCGGGATTGTACCCCTGACTTACAATTTTATTCTAGTATTGCTTCTGAATTTCATGCACAGAGCACATTGGTAAATTGTCTAACAGTTCCATTTTGTGTAAAGCAGTACTTTCTGATTAGTGCTGCATCAGCATATGAACTGCTATATATTTCACACCATTATTAGGATGGGATCAGTGGGGATTGGGTGAGGGGTTGGGGATCACCTAGAGGATTAAATCCACTGCAACCGAACAAGGCCTAAGCCGGGTCAAAAGCCAGGCTTTTCCTTGCTAACTGAAGTAAATTGACAGCAAAGTACGTAAACACAAAACTATAAAGACACTTATTGTGAATCCCAAACTTATAAATCATTGGACATGCTGCCGACCATATTTATAAACTTAACATCCAGAATACGTTGGCACCTTGCACATGAGCAGAGGGTCTAGGTCTTGACCATCAAAAGTGCAGATTATTGTTGGCAAGCAACTCCATGATAGCAATCAAAGATTGTTCTTGGAGATAACATCCATTAAATCTAGTAGCTAAGACCAAAAGCATACTTCAACGCTCAGGCATGAACAACACCTTGCACATGAGCAGAGGGTCTAGGTCTTGACCATCAAAAGTGCAGATTATTGTTGGCAAGCAACTCCATGATAGCAATCAAAGATTGTTCTTGGAGATAACATCCATTAAATCTAGTAGCTAAGACCAAAAGCATACTTCAGCGCTCAGGCATGAACAACACGACCGGTTCCGTCTAGCATTTGGTAAAGTTTCAGTCGCTTCCAACAACCGACGATGGGGAAACCGCGCGATTCAGCAGAAGAACATGGACGATGCTATCGTGGGATGCAGACGAGGCAGCTCCGGCACCGGGGCAGCCTCAGCCTGGGACGACGTCTCCAACATGTCATTGAGCCTGGTGAACTTGGCCACCTGCGCCGCCGCAAGGTGTGCGTAGAAGATGGGAGCAACTGAGAGGGAAAATCAGATGATCAACCATGCCCTTTTGGCGTATGTTGCGAAATCAAGTGATGGCAAATCATGCTTACCAGCTGTGATGGCTGTGGTGCTCCTCTGGTACCTGAAACGAGTTCACAAGCATAAAAATGTCAGGAATGCACCGATGATCGTCAGAGGCAAGGTAAGGGCTGAATCTTTTGCAGCTACTTCAGTGCACATACGCATAGGAAAGGGAGTGGACGAGCTCCTGCAGCTCATCAGCGGAGAAGCCTGTCTCATCTTGGAGCACATGGTCGTGTGTTGGCCTTGTAGTCCCCTGGAATATACAACCAGAATGACTTGGATTGTATTCCCTCCGTCCCATAATATAAGAGCGTTTTTTACACTACACTAGGGATATGATAAGAATGTATGTGTAGAAAAGCCTAGGAATTGCTCGTTTAATCCTATACAAAATTGTAAATAATGGTTCTGTGGTAGGTGCTTAGATTCCTATGAGATGCATTTGGTTTCGTATGAATGCTACAGTACCCCCATTAAAAAGTACATACAAATCAAACAACCTAACAATTGCCATGGATTGCAATCCTCCACAAAAATTGGAAGATTAGAAAAAATATTTAGATAAAAGACGTAGGTTACCAGGGGGGACATTAGTCACTTGATCAGGTCTCTGTCCATTCCGTAGGAAAAATCTCGTGTGATGATTCTTCTGTGTAACCATCACTGTGAACTTGGGGAACCAGTTGCCACTAAAGTGCTTGCCACCAAAAAACTTGCATGTCTGTATCAATTAGGCAGGCATTACTATCCAGGACTGGCTCATGAGGAATTGGATATCACTTACTTTTACCTCCATGATTTGAGATAGCTCATCGTTCAGCACCTGATTGAATTGGCTCTCGCTAACACCATCCCTAACATAAGACAACAGAGTTTCCTTACACAGAATCAGGGTGCCAAAGTAAACTTAGAGATGGCATCGAGTATTTAGAGTCGGTTTGTACTCTTAACATCAAGGGACAAGACACAATTAATTCAGCAATTTCAACAGAAAAATTATGCTATTTAAATGCAGAAACCACTTATCTCACGGAGGACTACTGACCTGAAAATGATAATTTGTTCCGGCTTCTGATCATTGTTATATTTCAGAAAGTCAACTACTGAATCCCTGAAATGTTATTGTCCCAGTGAGCAACAAATTAAAAGCATATGTATAATTAGGAAGCACTGTTATTAAAATTGTATAAATTGCACTTTATAAAATCTGAGCAGAAGAAACTCACTTAATGAGGCCATGGTCGTCATCTCCAACTGGCTTAAACAAGGTATCGATCATTTCCAGCCTGGATGACTGAGTGCACACAGAAGCTCTGTGTAGTTTGAAATGATTAGCCACTTGAATGAACTAACCACCTGGGCCAAAGCAACAAGCACTCAAGTGAGTTAGCAAATTGTCGGTTCAAACTCTCTTCAGGACCATCAGCTAACACCTGAGTTTTTACTGCAGGAAACTGAGTACTCCCTCCGTTCCTAAATATTTGTCTTTCTAGAAATTTCAACAAGTGATTACATACAGAGCAAAATGAGTGAATCTACACTCTAAAATATGTCTACATACATCCATATATGGTAGTCCATTTGAAATCATCAAAAAGACAAATATTTAGGAACAGAGTACATAATAAGCAAATCTTACTGCAGCAACCGATGGCACGTCAGACCGTCCTGGTGAACCATGAGAATTGGGAAACATCCATAGCAAAGATGATGGTTCGAACCCTGGAGACATGAGGAATAGCACAGGTTGTTTCATTTTTCAGCAATGAATTCAACCCGCCAAGCTGAGCTGATTGGCAGCAAAGCATCCAGTTGTTCAGCTAAAAGAAATCCAAATTATGTGGTACACTGAAGATGGCAATGCAGATCACACTGCAAACCTTGGCATTTATCTTTAGCAGCACATTTGTGAGGTACTGATCTTTGACGTTGGCAGGAGGAACCAAGCATCGCGTCAAAATACCATACCGTGCAAGGCATCCGCGCTTCCATGGTCTGACAAGAAGAAAAAAGGCTTGATGCCAGGTAGGCATTAAAAGAGCAAACCCTATGTCACAGTTCTTCCTCTTCTCAGGAAGAACGTACAGGAGAAACTCTGGTTCGTTGTACTTAATTCTTTCTTGTTTTTAGGCAAGTGAAAGATGTGATTTTATGTTTACTTTTGACTATCTACTTTTATGCAGCCCCAACATCTTTCATTGTCGCCAACACTCTTTGCACACAACTTTCGGCCACACCCCAAAGATTAATTTTTTTGCCCTGCCTCCTTGAACACTGCCAAATCCTCAATCGTCTACATAGAGAAAGAATCAAATTGGTATTCAAGCATAGGGTCAAACTCTTCCTTGCGTTGATGGCTGCATACCACTTCACTGTGATTTCCTTGTTCTGTAACCGTTTCCTTAAATTTGGAAGACAAACAAAGTGCAAACGAACTTTCCAAGTGAAATGCAAGAAAAGGCTGGCCAATGGACAACCAACCGAATCCTAACTGTACTGGCCACCTAGAACAATCCCATAGCAGCGCCAGCCTCCCAAGTAGGGATGGATTTTTGAAGAACTTCTTGTCAGAAAACAGAAGGCTTAACAAGGCATATATCTAGCTCATCCTACCCACTCTAGATTCAGCACAAGTGATGGTATCCATGCGAGACCACAAAACAAACAGAAAGAAAGTCAAACTCAGCAAGCAGAGAGATGGAAAGCAACAAATTAGATGGTTCGATAGTAAAGGTTCAACTGCAGCACCCTGACAGGATTCAAAGGTTCTGAGGCACCAAGTGCAGCAACCAGCTTAGGAACACAACATCCCAGGAGTCCAACAGGCCATCACAGGCCACTACTACATACTACTAGTACTAGATAACCAAGCGCATCACCAAAAGTTGGAACGCGCAAGTGCGGCTGGCTGGCTGGCTCAGCAGAAGAACATGCTGCTGCGGACTTTCTCATGGAGGCGAGGCAGCTCCTGCACTGGAGCGCTGCCGGCAGAGGTGTGGCCACCGCCCTGGCTCGACGACGTCTCAGACATCTCATCAAACTTTATGAACTGCGCCACCTGAGCAGCCGCAAGATGTGCATAGCAGATTGGAGAAACTGCAAGAAAGCACAACAAGGTTGCAAAATCAGCACAGGGTTCACAAGACTAACAACATTGGAAACTTTGCAGATGCAAGAACAAGCACAGAAGTGCAAAACTCACCAACTGATATGGCTGTCGTGCTCCTTTGGTACACATATGAGAGCGAGTGCACAAGATCCTGCAGGTCATCCGCAGCAAAGTGTATCTCATCATGCAGGATATGGTAGTGTGTTGGCCTTGTAGTCCCCTGCAACACACAAATAAGATTAGCTTATCAAGTCTACACGACAACAAACTGGAAATGGTCACGATGGTACAAGCAACAAAAATACAACTGAAAGCCAGGCCTAACCAAAACTTGCAAGTCATTCAAGTAAGATTTGACATGCCCAGGATGCAAAAAGAGCTGGATAAAGTAATGCATATGATCCAATAACAACTTACACAAATAAGATATTAAAATTGTCCCACTGACCAGAGTTTTACATCATACTGTACTGTACTTATCATATGCTATATAAATGCATCAACCACAAAGTGATTACTCTTGCAAAATCTTGAACACTTCAAAAAAATATTCACAAACTATCATGGTAAATCAGTGATGGTTCCAACAAGGTGCATAACTTGGGGTTCCAACAAGGTGCCATTAACAAAGGTGACAGGAGGGTCAGTATCAACTGATCAAGGGAACTAGGGCAGACAATGAGAATAGTGGCTACAGATGGATCAAAACTTTTAGCATTTATATTACAAACAGAACAGCACTACGGCAAAACACTTAACAAGCAAATATGATGCACCTGAGAGAATACTTACAATCATTCCAGCATGAGCGCACATGTAGAAGTCATAATTCCTTGGATGGCAGACTGCATTATCTACAACAGTGCCTGTGGAATGGCAACATTCAAACATTAGTATTATTATGGAACAATTTGACATTATCATGGGATAGAATACAGCAGACAAGTGGTATATGTTACCTGGAGGGACATTGTCAGGAGATCCAGGTATGAAGAATTTGGTGTGGTGATTTTTCTGGGCAACAATCAGCGTGAACTTGGGGTTCCAATTTTCATCCAAGAACTTGCAGGCCTGCACCAAATACAATAAACACCAAGTCAGTTGTGCAATAGATGAATGAGATACTCATGTATAGTATAATATGAGCCCAACTAGAACCACATGAACAGTACCTCAATTATTTGATCCAATTCAATGTTCAGCACCTGATTAAACTGGCTCTCACTAACACCATCCCTGTAATGAAGAAGAGATCAACATTTCCTCAAGAAAATCAGGCAACCATTCTATACAACTGAACGACCCTGGTATGTCTCCAATACTGACCACTGACATTTGCAAGTAGTTATTTAGGAAGTATGACAAACCTGAAGATGATGATCTGATCTGGTTTCCTTTTTCCAGAACTGGTGTAGAAGTCAATGAGACACTCCCTGAAACAGTCCGGAATAGCAACAGGAAAAGAGAACATCAAGAGAACCACCATAGCACATTTGTATGGACGACTGAACAAAAAACAAAAAAATATCTTACCGAACAAGGCCATCATCATCAGTTCCTTGTGGCTTGAACAATGAATCTATCATTTCGAGCTTTGGTGACTGCGAGCGCACTGAAGCCCTATATTTCGAGACAAGAGGCCATTCCCGAGAACCAACAACCTATAATCAAAATGGAAACAGACATCACATAATAGGTATCTTAGATTTGGGCTTACTAGTGTTATCTTAGATTTGGAAGTACTATAATGCAGAGTAAATTTAGTAGCGTACTGCTGCAATGGACGGTATATCAGACTGTCCAGGGGATCCATGGGACACATCCATTCCCAAGATGAGAGTTGGGACCTTTGATACAAGAGGTATACTTGGGGACATTTCAATTTGTAGTAGTGAGTTCATTCCACCAAGCTGATTAGAAAAAGGATTAGTACAAAGAAGACAATAATGTAAGCACTGTTTCAATAAGAATGAGACGTGGGGGAGGCACAAACTTTTGCATTGATCTTCAGCAGAACATTTGTCAGATATTGGTCATTGACCCTTGTTGGGGCCACACATTGAGTGACAATCCCAAAGTCAGCAAGGCATTTTCGCTTCCATGGACCTACAAAAGAAAAATAACCAGATGATACAGATGATTGTACTAAACTTATTGAAGACGATACAGATGATTGTCCTAAACTTATTTAAGGGATGCAATTAAGAATTTCTAGAACCAACCATAAACATCTGAGTTCTTCCTCTCAGCAAGAATACACAAGAGAAACTTCGGAGCCCCAGGAAGCTTAGACTTCACTTGCTCAAACATATCCTCAACCCTTTTTGGAGCAGGTGCACGTCTCATTGAACCATTCTCTTCAATTACAATATGAGGTTTTTCTACTGTCTGCAAATTTTAAAAAAGAGTGAGTACAAAAACATTTCAGAAAATGTGTAGTTAGGTTAATGGAAAACCTACAATGCCCTTCATGCCCCCACACTTGATGAGGTCATTGACAAGGTTCATGGTGTTACACCTAGCCGAAAAGTTTACAACTGCCCATCTGTCCACCACACAAGCTCTAGCAAGCCTCTGCAGAAGCATGACTAGCAAAGTTATGATTGAAAACATGCAGTATAAAAGAGTAGACACAGAATGCAGTCAAAACAAGCTGACCTTGTTGTTGAAATTCCAACGTCCATTCCTTGTGAAAATATCTTCACCATTTCCAGCTTTGAGCTACATTACAGGATTCAATAAGGATGCATAAGGATTTCACAAGCACAAACGATGACTAAATAAGATATGGAGCAGTTAGTTGTGACTGACCTTGGGGGCCTGCAGTACCCTACCAGCCACCTGTGTAAAGCCCTGAGCTATCGAAATTCCACATGCCTTCAACATGGGTTCTGTATCATAGCTGCTGCGTTTCAGTACCTGCCAAATTGACATTGATGAAACAGTTAATAACAAACCTACAACTAGGTATTGAGACAGAATAAATACGCCACTCACATCAGACAAAACTGACATCCTCTCTTGAGGCTTCTGCCTGGACTTCTCAACAAGAGATGATCTTTGTAGGGTACTCAAAGATTTGGTATACCTTTGTAAAGGGACCAGCTGGCAGAGCTGGCAAACATAGAAAGATTCATCAGGGAATTGCACAAATAAGGCACAACCAAGAA